CGCCACCAAATTTCGTACTTAATGTGTGTATAAGTTTCATAACATTTGGTTGAGGCAAACTAAAGTTAGAAAACGGAAACAAAACACAAAAATTGTACTTGATCTTAGTTTTGTGGTAATGAATATTGTGTATAGATTTCAATGGCTTGTTGGGACAAACTTAAGTTACAGAATGGAAACTAAAAATTTTGCAATCTTTCGGTTTATAAAGGGGCATAACTCAATAATGGTTAAAGTGACAGTACCCAAATTCAACTTGATCTGTGTTTTATCAGCGGAAGTCAAAATTAAACATTGCATTGTATAAAACATTGATTGTAGTTGATTCAACTATTATCATGGACATAGGAAGATAACTCCAATTTTAAAAATAACTTGATATTTAGAAGAAAATAAAAATTTTGCAAGTTTTCCATTTATAAAGGGGCATACCTCTAGAACGGTTAAAGTGACGCCACCAAAATTCAAACTTGATCTGTGTTTTGTGGTAATAAGCATTGTATATAAGTTTCATAACATTTGGTTGAGGCAAACTCAAGTTAGAGAACGGAAACCAATTTTGGGACAAACGGATGTACGGACGGACTGACGTACGTTCAGACGGACAAGGGTAAAACTTAATGACCCACCCTTACGGCGGGGGCATAAAAACGACCAAAAGACAAGCAACAGTATACAAAACACAACAAAGAACACAAATGTGCACCAAATTAAACTCGTCTTGTTTTGGGACCTACCTTAGTCTAATGGTTACAAACTGCAAGACAAATTTAAAGAACTGCTTTGTTTCATAGAAAGGGGTTCTGCGGAACCCTGTGTCTCACACAGGCACTTGTCTCTAAAAAAATTTCCTATATACCTTTAAATAACACACTTGTGTTAAATTAAGGTATATAGGAATTTTTGTTTGTGTTATATTAAGGTATTTAGGAAATTGTTTTTAGAGACAAGTGCCTGTGGTGTCTTGCCTGTGATTGCTGCTGTCAGTGGAAAATGTAATGTTGACCTAAAAAATTGTCCATTTATCAGTAAAATACAGTATTTAAAAAAAAAAATTAAAACTTTTTCTTTAAGATTAGCTTCTGTCCAAGTTTCATAGCAATCCATGAACGTTTACAAATTTATCATGTCAAAAAAATTAAATCCCAGACTATCTGTAAATGTTAACTGTAAAAAACGAAGTCCATCTATCAGAAAAATACTAAAAATTAAAAAGTTGAAAAAAAAAATTTCAAAAGTTTGCTTCAGACATTAACTCTTAATCATTAAAAAGCTTCTGCCAAAGTTTCATAAAACTCTATGACGGTTTGACAAAATAATTGATGTGTAACAAACTTTAAACTTAACTCCAGACTGTATCTACTTGTTGACTGTAAAAAAAACTCCATTTATCAGTATTATACGGAAAAATTAAAATAAATATTTTCAAAATTTCAATCTGGATACTGTATTTTGGTCATAAAGAAGCTGCTGTCAAAATTTCATGAAATTCCATGTAGGTCTGACAAAGTTATTGATTTCTTAAAAAACATTAACCTCAGACTAAATCTGAATTTTAACTGTGAAAAAAACCAAAGTGCATTTATTAGTAAAATACGGAAAAATGAAAATAAATATTTTTAAAATTTTGCTCAGGATAATGTATTTTGGTCATAAACAAGCTTCTGTCCAAATTTCATAAAATTCCAGGTTTGACAAAGTTATTGATGACTAAAAAAGCTTTGACCACAGACTGATGCAGACGACGGAATCTAGGATCACTATGTCTCTTTTTTTTTTGCAAAACAAATTTCGCAGGCTCAACACAAAAGAAAGGTCAATGATACAGGAATCTTATCTTAGAAAGGGATAAATCGTACTTTGTAGAAAATCACTCTGATTTAAAACAAGAAACAATCAGCATTCCCATGGGAACCAACTGTGCCCTCTTCTTGCCAACTTGTTCCTTTATTCATATAAGTTGATACAGCAGCTTCTTAGGAAGAATGAAAAATGCTAGAATTATCCTTTAACTTTAACTTCACTGTCCGTTATATATATATGATGTCCTCTCACTAAATAATTCAAAGTTTGGTGACTATGTTAAACACATCTATCCCATCTAATTTGAAATAAAGGATACAACCGATAGTTAAGTCCACCTCATATCTTGATTTACATTCAGAAATTGACAATGAGGGTCGGTTGAGAACAAAACTTTACCACAAATGAGAATGAGATAATTTCAGCTTCACAATTGTGAACTTTCCATTTCTATGTAGCGCTTGTATATGGAGTATATTAAACTGTATATATCTCCCAGTTGATTCACACCAACTCTGGTAAAGGAAAGTTTTATCATTTATTGTCAAAATATTGTTTAGCCATATGGAATGTATCATGATCTCATCAGCAGTGTCATTAGTGACAGTGTTAAGGATACTCCAGTTTAGTAAAATGTCTTTACAAAAGCTATTAAAATTTGTAGAAATCTTTTGGATACCATCAGGGGTCATCAGCAATATTTTGTTTGCTCCCAAGTTTTTTTCATGATCTATTAGCAGTGTTTTCCATGGGGTCTAAAACTCTTTTTCTGGCATTTTCAACCTCCTTTTTCATACAACCCTATCATGACTTTTCTTTTAATCTTATCTGGTTTTCCTGACCACAAAAAACTAATAAGGTATTTGAAATATGTTTTTATCTTATTAACAGGTGGGTTTGACAAAGTTATTGATGTCTAAAAACTTTAACCCCAAGCTGTATCTAAATGTTAACTGCAACAACAACTAAGTCCTTTTATCAGTAAAATATTGTAATACTCTAAAAAATATTATCAAAATTTTACTCTGGATAATGTCTTTTGATCATAAAAAACCTATGTACAAGTTTCGTAAATTTCAATGAATGTTTGATGAAGTAATTGATGTCTGGAAAACTTTTATCTTAATGTAACCTCCAAAAAAAAAACCCCAGTAAAACAGTGAAAATAAAAAAAAATAAATTTCAAAATGTTTGCTCCGTCTAATTTTCATACAGTTCCATATTATTGATGTTAAAACAAGCATTCGTTGAGTATTGCATGGCAATACATAGTCCCCTGCCGGTTAAAAATTCATTGTATTGGAACAAAATTCTAACTTGATCTATAACTTGTCATGGTGTAGACTATATAACAAATATCTCATCAATATCTTCAAGCATGACGAAGAAAAGTGTTGAAAACTGATTATTTAAGTGAATTTTCTAAGTCCAAGGACCATAACTCTGCTCAAAATCATCAGACTGGAACAAAATTTGAACTTGATCTGTAACTTGTCATGATAAAACTATATACCAATTTTCAAATCAATATCTTCAAGCATGAAGAAAAAAAGTGCGGAAAACTGATTATTTGAGTGAATTTTTTAAGTCAAAGGACCATAACTCTGCATAAAATCATCAGACCGGAACAAAATTCGAACTTGATCTGTAACTTGTCAAGATAAAACAATACACCAAATATCAAATCAATAGTTTCATGCATGAAGAAAAAAGTGTGGAAAACTGATTTGCCGGACTGACGGATGGACAGACAGACAGACTGAGTGCAAACCTAGTCCCCTTTGACTTCGTCAGTAGGGGACTAAAAAAGACTTGAACCACAGACTGACCCTAAATGTTCACGCCACCACCAAGTGTAGTAGGCTGAGCACAGCTGGATACGACCGCAGATGTCCAACCCTGAAAAGTTGGGCCAAAATGGACACAATATTCACGCTTGATACAGGTCTGAATTTGGATTGTAACTAAATTTTTGACACATAATAACTGTAGTCAAATTGGTTATATGATTTGAGTTTATATTCAATTTATTGCTATTGACCCCCCCCCCCCCCCCCCCCCTACCAAAAAAAAATTATTTTACCCAGTTTTTTGCTTTTGTGCAATACACTATGCTGTTGAATATTAACCCCCCAAAAAAAACATTTGAAGAAATTTTCTTTTAATTTCTGAAATCTGAAATGAGAAAAATTGTCCCCCCCTCCAATTTTTTTCGCCTCCCCCTTTTCACTAATTCCCCCAAAAAATTCTTTCCCTCAAGATATGGTCAGTATCTCAATTCAAATTTCTAATGCAGTTTGCAACCAAAATTACCCATTTAAATACATCATAAAAGTTTTAAAATATAAAATGACATATATAGTCATGGCTAAAATTAATATTAATTAATAGTAACTGCTAAAAATAAATTGACAGCTAATCACCTCAAGACAATCATCATTTCTTATTTTCTTAATACATAATTTACAAGCAGTGTAAGGGAGGTAATAAAACAGTGTTCTTTAATTTGAATTGGATTACCTCCCTTACACTGCTTTTAAATTGTCTCAATTGTCCTTTAACCAGAAAAACCCTTGTTTTTCCCCCTTTTTTGCCCCTTATTACTAAATGGTTTGAGCCAAAACCCCCCAAAGTTAATCCTAACCATCGTTTTGTTGTATGGAAGTTTGTGGTATAATTTCAGAGAGATTCATACACTGTAACACAAGTTATTGTCTGGAAACTACAAAAATGCTTATTTGGGCCCCTAATTCCTTAACAGTTGGGACCATAACCCCCAAAATCAATCCCAACCTTCCTTTAGTGGTTATAAACCTTGTGTTAAAATTTTATTGATTTCTATTTACTTATACTAAAGTTATTATCCGGAAACCATCTGTCTTCGGACGATGACAACATGATACCAATATACAACCAAAAAATTTTAAATTTTTGGGGTCGTATAACAAAAATTTTTTTAATTTTTGCGGTCGTATAACAAAAATTTTTTAATTTTTCAGTCGTATAAAAAAATAAGAAATTTCAAATATTTTTTGGGGTTTGTTTTGTTGTTTGACTGCTGTCTCATTGATGCTTAGCATGCAGTATCTTTCATTAATACCAATTGAATTCAGCATCTATATGGAAATTTTTGACACCAACATGGAGATTATTGTCTTTTTTTCTAATGCAACTAAAAATTCAAAACAAACTAGAAATTCATTTCATTAGAAATCCACAAGGATTAACATTTTATTATTGTCTAAACATAAAACATTTTATGAAGATCACATATAAATGATCACACAGCCTTTAGGACTCACTGATCACATGACCCATCATGGATCACTGGTCATGTGACCCACCATAGATCACATATCACATGACCTTCAGGCTCACTAACATAATTTTATAAAATCTATCAAACAAATTTATTAATGTAAAATTACACATAGGTGTTTCTGTTCAAAAAGTGCATTATAATCTTATACAAAACTGGTTTCCAACATCCACTCTTGGTGAGAAATACAAAACTGGTTTCCAACATCCACTCTTGGTGAGAAATACAAAACTTACTAATACATGTACAAACAAGTATTCCAAAATTACTCACATTTCCATGAAATAACTATCTGGATTATTGAAAATGTATTTTTAATTTATATCAAGGTTTACATTTTGTAAATATTCAAACAGAGAAAATAGTCATGCACCATTTAATTTTTGGACTGATTGGTCACTTTAATAGTATGGCTGATTTGTAACATTTGTACATTTTTAACAAACATATTTTTGTGACATTTTCACGTCAGGGAATAAAAAATTAACCTATAGATTTTTTTTACACAGAAGCCAATTTACTGGTGTTATATTATGGAGGTTTATACTTTAACATAGAAATCTTTTTCTGTACTTTAATTATTTTTTTATGGACAAAGACAGTGTAATACAATAAAAAAAAAAAGTTTTGAACATCCTCTGTGACAAAAACTATCTTTTGTAAATTGTAAGGATATGGTTACTGTATACTGTAAAGTGATCAATTTTCATGAGAGGTTTTATTCCCGCTAGTTTTTTGCCATTAAGATAAAAATGCAAAAATTTGATCTTAAAGGCAAATGACAATCAAAGACAAGAAAAATGCATATATAAAACTTCTACCAGGTTTTGCCTTTGAAATAGCGAAATTATAACTCTGTGAATATAAACTATATTACGGTATATTAGATTCATAACTGGAATCAATTTTGGAATGTGTGTTTCAAAGGATGGTCAAAGGTTATTATAATCATTATGGGATACTTTTAATGTTTAACATTATTTTATCTTTCCGAAGGGAAACATTACAAGTGAACAGGATAATAGGTCAATCAAATAAAGTTACATTTAAAGGTATGGAACGATTTTCTGGACTTGTAAAGATTTATTAAGACATATTGTCTGATGATTTTAATCTACATGGGGAGAAAAAAGCATATCAAATTAAATTAATAAATTTATTCATAAAATATTGCATCAAGTTCAACCGTTCTAATTCATAATGCATTACGATTTGGATTATTACTTTGTATAATGGCGAACAGTTTCAAATTTTCACACAAGGCATTAATAAGGGGGGAGTTATAATTTTGGATTATTGGAAATATCTTTGATGTTTGAAAATGAATTATTAATGTTTGAGTTACTAATTTTACACCTGACATCTTGTTGTGTACTGACCAATTAAAGGTGAGGTAATACTACACTGATACTTGCTCATTTTAAATATTTTGAGGTGGAATAGAATATGGACTATGTGATAGTATTATAATGGGAATGAATTTTATTTGATTTTTAAATGTACTAATATCAAAATATTGTTGTTTTAAGGGAATAGTTTCCACCGAACTACAATATATTGAATCCTTATAATAAAAAAATTGAAATTCTTTATTCAATTGTAACTTTCAGCTGTATAAACTATTTTTTGTATTTATCAAAACAGTGTCCATATGTTTTAAAATGTTGAAAAAGTATATATTTTATTGTTTTTTCTACATGTATTTATGTTATTAATATGACATATTATTTGATCATGTTTATATAATGCTGTTAATTATGACCTCCCTCATGTTATACAGTTATCAGTATCTTGAGTTTAAAATCTTCAATCTTGAGGGAAAAAACTCTCAACATATAATATAATTTGGTATAGTCTGAATAAACTTATATACAATTACTTCTGATACATAGCAACAAATAGTGAACTTTTTCTTATATAAAATTTGAGTTTGATATACTCTAAAAAATCAACAAAACAAAATAACTAGAGAGATAGTACTATGTATATGTAGTATAAGTATAGCACTATATAGTTAACTTTAACAAAGAAAATTGCAAAACATTTAAGCCAGAAAACCATCACAATTTGACTCCCATCACAAATCAAAAAGATATCTAGATTTTACCCTAGAACAATCAGTGTACGACCAAGTTAAATATCATTGATGTTTTAATATAAAGTTCATTTGTGTAGTAAGCTGTTCCATAAAAACAAGTGAGACCTAGGTAAGGCAGTTTGAAATCTCAACTGGTGGGTGGCAAGTACATGTACAGTGAAATGAAGAGTTTTTAATTTGCCTCTATTGGTGGTGAATCATATGCAACAGTCAAGTGAGCCTTATAAGAACTGCATTTTTTTATGTTCATCAATTAAAATTTTAATAAAATCGTCCTCAATAAGTTTCAAGTTAATTTTTTTTCTGATCAACAATTATATGTTAAGATACCTTATTGGGTTAATGCCAAGAAATAACAAAAACATGAAGAAAGAAAATAGCTTGATGTCAAAAGTTAAAATGATTTTATGACATAAGCAAAGCAAATTCGCAAACACATGACAGCATTGTTTAATTCACCTTACCAAACAATAGATTTAAAGGTAAACTGATGTGTGTGTATTAATATATATCTAATTACAGGTAAAAAGGAAGTAAAATTAGGAAAATATAAACTTATTAATAGATTTACTAAAAACCATGGATTTTTTAAAGACATATGTATACTTGTTACATGAAATTCTAAAATTCATGACATTTGCAAATTTTACCAGCTTACCTTGACAATAAAGAAAAATCTTCATTATCAAAGCAAGACAGAAAACGTTTCTGGTTCCCAAAATTAGAAAAAAATAATATGGTATTCACCTTAACATACTGTAAACTGATATTTGTGTATTACTTATAAAATTAAGAATATGTGGTATAATTGCCAATGACACAACTCTCCACCAGAGACCAAATGACATAGAAGTTAACAACTATTATCTACTTTCAAAACAAAAACATTGTATTACAATACAAGTATTATGGGGTACAAGTCATTCAAAAGATGCAGACCAAAGAAAGATAACCCTAGAAAAACAAGTAATTATTACAACAATATTTTTTTGTAACACCTGAAATTTAATCAACTTACATTTATGAATGCCTCAAGTATCATATTTAAATGTATGTAAATAGTGTCGGAAGACAGTAATTTATACAATAATAAGTATAAACAAAAAATACAGTTTAGTTCTCAGGCCTTTTCCTTTAAATAAAGTTTACTCTTAATATCTACTTTTTACAAGGTAAATACAGCATTCATTTTAAAAAAACTTCAATGCATTTAAATAAAATTAAAATATAAGGATTAATAAAGAAATTACACTTCTAATTTGACAAAAAAAGATTATATATATATGCAAATGCTTGCATTTAAACAATTTCACAAATTACTTTTCCGTTAATAATGACAAAGATAGATTATTACTAATTCAGTAAGAAAACATGTCCAAAACCAAAATAAGTAGGTTCCCTGTCAGACTGATATGTATACAGACATCTTTCCAAATCAAACTAACAAAAGACTGCTTAGAAATCACTTTGTAAATTTCATTTGTTCTTATACCATATATACCTAGACTTCATTGTTACACTTTAAACTGTTATATATGTTTCAATAGCTGTAATTTCATTCAACGACTACATTGTATTTATAATATGACATATGTTTATATAACTAGACTTTAAGTCCTACAATTGTTTCAACTGACTTAGAATTTACATAAATATGAGTAAAAGAAGATGGGGTATACACCTGTGAGTCAGCAACACAACCATTGACCCAAAGACATCTAAAGATCAACATGCTGTCTTTAACTATAGACAAATGTCTATACAATATATAAAGCTCTTAATCAACCAGTGTCTAAAAACTTTGTGAATAAATAAAAAACAAAGATCGGCCATTAACCATTAATTCCCCACAAAAAATAGATTATTGTATGAAAGCTGTTATAAACTGCACGGAAAAAATAAATTGGTTTGTTTTTATTTAGTTACATCTATTATTCGTAGATATGTGTCAGGCATGTCAAATTTCAATAATAACATTTAACAGAATTCATATTAAAATAAAGCCTTGTCATACATCTGAGAGGTAAATGAAATTTTTAGATTTTGGAGTACTCAATACGTAACTTTTACCTTAAAATATACTCATGTGTTTGAGTAAGAAGAGAAAGTTGGAATATGTTAAAACGATAACAACTCAGCTTTCAACAGCCTTTAGAAACTTCTAGATAATTGTGTGATTTTAAGGGGGGAGGAAATGTCAAGGGACTTTAATATAATTTGTCAGAGCCATTAATAATAATTTTTCTTAATCATGAAAAGTATGCCTAGAAATATTTTAAGTAGTAAAAATAGTTCAATCTAAATAGTTTTTTCGTATCCTTACTTTTTTGTACATGAAAGTTAAAGTAAAGAGCAACTTTAGAATCTTTTAGAATTTAAATATTCCAGCCAATTTGTCTCAACCCAAAGTTCAACTTTTCTATCACATTCTATAATTTAATTAAAAGACAAAAGAAAACTAATTAGTAAGTTAACATGAAATTTACTGTTTTATTCAGTATTAATCATGTCCAAGCACATTCCAGTGAAAAAGGGTCTTACGCAACTTTCATTTGACCTAAGAATTGTTAAAAATTTCATCCCATATCATTTTTAAATCCTTTATTTTGCTCGATCAATGTCTGAACACTATTCTTTCACAAATATTACAATACATATATGAAATGATCTTACAAATAGACGTGTTGAAGACCAAATGTTGACCTCTAGATATTTCCTTAATTGATGTGTTATTGGGTTGCTGTCACATTGAGGTTTATCTCTAATCTTCTGTTATTCATTAAAAAGGAAAACAGAGTAAAAAGACAAAAATATGTATAATAATTAATAAGCATATAATTTTTTATTTTCTTACGTCATGTATTTTAAGATATGGTCAACATTGTAAGAGACAGAAAGAGAGATTATATGTGTAATTTTTGCATTTCTAAACATTAACAGTACTAAACTGTTGACTTATCTCAAATATTAAGAAAAAAACTCACATTTATTTTTCAACAAGTTATTTTTTACACAATTAGTACATATATGTTTGAAACCTTCATACAAACAGTGATATATCGTGCTGCCTTCAAGCATTCATACTAGGTTATGGTTGCATTCATTCTGCCATTTATGTCAGGTATAGCCCACCATACATTAAGTCACATTCTGCCAATCTTGTCCCTGTCAAGCTATCATACAGATCTCTACTTCAGAGGTAGTGGTCCTCAGGCTATATGATGATGACAAGACAAACTATTATCATGGTAATACTCTAAAATTTCCTCAAACTGTTTTATGTAAGTGTAAGTTTCTACTAAGTACTGATCGCACATCGTGACAAAATCGTAGAGCATCTAACATCGGTAGTAAACATAGTAGTGATATGTCTGTTGGTTCACTGAACCATGACTTTATAGGAATAGCGTTATCTGGAAAGATAGTAAAAAAAAAGGCAATGAATAATGGTTCACGGAACAATAATTTTATACGGATAATGCTATTTGAAAAGATAGTAAAATGCCATGAATAATCAGTTGGTTCACTGAACCATAACAAGAATTACATTATCTGGAAAGAAAGTAAAAGTGCCATGAATAATCAGTTTGTTAACTCAACCATGACACAGTGTTCTCCCCAGGCCGTTTTAGCATCGCGGCACCGAGACGCTATATTTTTTTCCCGTGATGCTATAATAATTTCCGTGACGCTATAATTATTTTGAGGATGCTATTTTTCTTTTGTGTAAATCGCAAAACCATGTCCTAAATATTGAACTTTCATCTAATTACCACTTGTGATCATAAAAATTATATCACCTTTAATTGTAATTCCTTCAAGTTGGACAATAGAGGCAATTAAGTGTGATTACATAGGTGTTAATTGCCCTTTGGGTGATAACTGAATGGATACGAATACCCCAAGCTGACACTTGTGACATGAATAATACCACATGGTCCAATCGCAAATTTCGACATGGAGTAAATGTAATCAGAAAATCGAAAAACAATTCGAAATCTATGTTTGCATAATCCAAATTCAAAAGATACAAACGATTTCTCTCTTTAGAAAAGAGGTTAGGTCGTATATTTTTACAACTTTTTAAAAAATTACTTTCTTTCATTTCTGGTATAACTAGTTAATCGAGAGCGTATATTAAACTTTGATTTTGAGTTAAATAAGTTTGATACTTCTTTAGAAAGAGATCATAATTGGCTTTAGTAAATGTTTCATCCATTTAATGCATTAAAAGTGTCATATTCATTCCCAATTTCTTGTCAAGCATTGTTTATTTACGTAATTTTTTCTTCCGCCGCCATTGAAATATTTGTGTAAACTAAGGACCGGAACCGGACCAGATATGACAAAATTCCGCATTTTTACGATAATAACTACAGATGCACAAATGGCACAGTAGACAGAAAAAAATGATCACAAAAGAGAAAACTACGCATTCCACACTCATTAACAGACTATTTATTAGATATCTTTGCTAAATGTATTCTTTTTGAAAATACATCGTTTTAATATACTGACTGAAGTAGCTTAACTTTGTTAAAAATATATATCATTTTGATATAAAGAAAAAACTGGGACTAATTCATTGAGTACCATGAAACAATGAATTCCATAGACATGATAAAGAAAAAAGTTTTTTAATTGAAATTTAATTGCTATATGATACTTTCTCTTCCACTTTTATATAAAACCCAGTTTTTTTTTTGCTAGATATTTAGTATTGTATATATATAGGTTGTACTATAATTAACCATTAATTCATTCATTCATTCATTTAGTTGAGTAGGTAGGGTAACTGGAACCACACATATATTTTTATTTGGCCCAAGAGGAAAAAAATAATTCTGTAACTATAAATGAATATAGAAAACATAAACTGAAACAACTGTTATCATGGTTATAGTTTAATTGTATTCTCAGTTATGAATTGAACATTATAAACATATATAACATAAAGGAAATAGACCATCGCCGCGACACGTCAAATGACATTGAAAAAAATACAATTAATTTTTTTACAACAAATGTGATGCTATCCAAAATTTCTGGGGAGAACACTGTGACATAATAGGATAGTGTTATCTGGTTAGATAATAAAAAAAACCATGAACAATCTGTTGGTTCTCTGAACAATGGTCTTATAGGAAGTGTTATTTGAAAAGATATTCAACAAAGCCTTGATGAATTTGATAGTTCACTGAACCAGGATTTTATAGGAAAAGCATTACCGTACTTGTAAAAAGACTAAAACAGAAACAATGAATCAAAGAACTACAATATTTGATCATTTATAAACCATATAATGGAATTCATACATATCTTATTTCTTTGTCTGAATTCATTACAACTTTTCCATATTTTATTTCATACTTTAACTTTCACATCCTATTTTTAGTAATTTTAACCATAATTGTTCATGTAATGGCTTTAAAGACCAAAATACATAAAAGGACTTTGGTAAACATCAGAATTCCCTAACATACTTCAGAAATGGCATTTTATTATATATATAAATTTAAAACATATGCAGTTGACAGGTCAGTTTAATGAATTTACCCTTGCATGTATATATTACAGAAGTTGCAATGATGCCAAATGATTTACTGGCAGAATATTTTGTTAGTTAGACCATTTTAATTGACTGGTCAAATCAAAACTTCCCAGGAAAATCACTTATCATAAAAGGAAAATGTTCAAATAATCTTATCTAATATTCAGTGCAAAAAATAAACAATAATTTTTTTCCCATTTCTGTAGACTGTATATTACTGATTTTGACCAGCTTAAACTCTGAATCTCAATATTCACTGAAATTATGACAATTAATCAATATGGCAATAATACATTGTTAATCATGTAACTTTGTAATATAAAAACATGAAGTAATGTGAAAACTAGTTAATATCAATAATACCTGGATAATTTTTATAAGCCACCGGTGAATTATCTAATATAAATATACTAGAGAGATCTTTACATATTTCTGTTAACTGCTTAGTGTAACTTCCCTGCATTAACTGACAGTGCTGAAAAAAAAAATCATTAATTATAAAGACTATTATTTTTAAAATTCAATTATGTAGGTACTTCTTTATTGTAATATTCAAACATTCTCTACACAAATCATTGTAAACATAATTTCATTTATTTGCTTATTATACACAATTTATCTCCCTTTATCTAGATTGTTCTGGTTTTCTCTTTAACTCAGCTAGACAAAAGCCAATTTTTAACTTTATCTGTTTTTTTTTATTATTTCAGCTTTTATCTTGAAAGTGAATACTGGGACATTATTTTTCTTGATAAAAATAAATCAGTTGGTTTTAATGAGCCGACCAGTCTTCCCTCTTACTCCTAAATAATCCATGGTGAGGGAGAAGCATCAAATTATCATTTCGTACTCTTTGGTTTGACCTAGCCAAGTATCAAACTAACAACCTCCTACACTAAACATAAACACACTACTACAAGACCATGAAACTGGTTTGAATAAAAGCTATGGAGAAAACGACAATTAGCTAGCAACCAATAAACAAAAAAAAACATTTGGTGAACTCAAACATGTTCTACCCTACCACATTCTGTATAGTCCTAAGCCAGGAGCCTGTAATTCAGTGACCTATATTTGTTTACATCTTCAACCATTGGTCTCTGGTAGATAGCTGTCTCATAGGCAATCAACCCACACGGCAATCATACCACATCTACTTATTTTTAAACTGTGTAATATTTCCTTACATTACAAAATGTAATTGTAGGGAAATTGCATTGGTGCTAATAAAAATTTGTGGAGTTTTTGACCATTTATGTCCAACTCTGGAAGATATGATCTTAAAAAAATTAAATACACACATTTACATAGTTGTAAAAACAAATGACTTAAGGACATAGTGAAAACTAAAGATGTATTTTAAATATCTGCATGCACTTTGTTGAAAATATCTGTAAAATTTTGTGGAATCTAGATCCAGTATATTTTTTTGTTAAGCCGTATATATATCGTTTCTCTCTACTTGCCTGCCTATAATATCTTCTTTTTAATATACCCCTATTATTGTCCAGTTTATCCGCAACGGCAGCTCCATATATTTCCATACTAGCTGTAAATACCACTAAATCATACCACTGGCTAACCTATAAAGCAGGAGTATATTATGTTATTCAATATAAATCTGCAATTCTTGAATAAAAGACTGGGGAAATATTCTAATAGTAAAAGCTATTTTGTCAACCTTATGGTGATGAGTGGAGCACTGCAAAATATGGTGATTGGCTGAATTTGAACACACTCTAATTTAACACTTTTCACATAAAACCTAACAGCAATGAACAGAATGGAGCAATAAAAGATCAAGATTTATTTTCCACTAAATTACGTCTTGTGCACTATTGCTATATTAACATGAAAATTTTAAGATGAAGAACGTCATTTATACAGTTGGAACCCTCTGCCCTACATTTATTGTCTGTGTGTCCTGTGGAACTGCCTCATATATTTATCAATAACATTCTTAATATTTAAACTTTGTATACAAACAAATAAGGTGCTAAGCCAAAATTGCAAGCATGTTTCATAGTTTAACTTACAACTTTCAAACTTAGTTTTATGCTTTTTGGTGGATAGCTGTCTCATTGGCAATCATACCAAATCATCTTATTTTTATGTAAATTCATATGGACATACTGTTTAGGCCAATCTTTAAGAACCGATCCATTTAAAAACATTCTGATAGCAAAAATTCACATATACTTACAACATCTAAAAAATAATCAACATGAGGTCGTTTATGAACAAAAAATCTAACAGGATGTCTATCTATGTTTACCTGAAAATACAAGATACAAAAAGTTATTAATACTTTTTTTTATCTTGGATTTAGCCCAACAATGTTATAACTGTGTTTTTGACATTGAGGCCAAAAAACATTATTTGTCTGTTTCCTGCCCCCAAGCAAAAAAAACATAGGGTCGGTCGGTTAGAAATCTATTTCAAGTGTTAAATGTTTTTTTCTTACATCTACAAAATCAAAGTTATCTGTCAAAGTTGAAAGTACATGTTTTCTCCAACTCCAATACTGATTTACACAAAATCCACCTGTTTTAGCATGCACAATGGTACATTTAAAATTTATAGTATTATCTAGATATTGACCATTCTGATGTTAAAATAATCCACCGGATAAAGGATTCTGTCAAATAAAATGACACTATATATGTTATTTATTTTAAAACATTTGTATACAATCATAGCAGGGCTTCCAAAATTATTTTTAGCCAGCCGGACATTTTATATATTATCCCGATTTTAAAACCCTTAAGACTAAATAAACAAAAGGCAATTATGGTATTCAGTTGCTGAGTTGGCAATCCCAATGATTGACATTAAAAAAAAACGATATTAAACTTTCTTTGATTCAAATTAGAAGTTCTGACGTAAACTGTTAAATTGGCAGTGCATCATTTGAAGTGTTGTCAAAAACTTTACATTCGTTAAAATCTTATACCGGATGTTATCTTGACAATGGTAAAACATGGACTAGAGACTGATACGTAAATTCCGTGTACGTTTGCAAAGCATGAATGAGTGTACGTAGCTCTTTCTACTTTATTTCTTCAAGAAAATATTCGAAATAAACGTGAGATAATGGTATAAATGACAATTTAAGCATTTTTTGAAGAAATTAGGATGCATAATTAAATTTCACACCTGCGCACACATGTACGACATGTCTCTGGTTCAAACAACGTGGTTATGACGATTTTTCATTTTCACCTGTTTAATTTTTTCATCAAATCATATTTGTAAACGTATTTCTGATAATTTAAATCTTTTTGACTAAATTAATTAGACGCAAACCGCTGAAATGTAAGAAAATAACTTTGAATAGATCGATCAATGTCCGGTTCAAAATAGTTTACCTGTCACCTGACCAGGTAAATTTCAGCTGTTCAACAACTAATTAGCCTTGATTAAAATGAGAAGGTATTAAAGTAGGGGTTGTTTTGATAGTACTTAATGATCATGTCACTTTTATGACCGGAAATGTGTGGCTGTTAAAGGCAAAAGGTTGGGTCAAAAAGATCACGAATTATGTTAAAATGACCGTCTCTTAAAATAGCCTTGAAAACTAAAAAGTAGATGACCGTTTCATGCTTTGCCCAGCCGGACTTTTACCGCACATTATACAAATGTCCAGAATATATGACCGTTTTGGAAGCCTTGAATCGTAGGTCAGCAATCAAAATTAGGGTTGGTTTGGAGGTAGGAAACAGGCTTTTATTTTTGGGGCCTAATATCATTCACTCAACAGAATTTGAACTTATATCATTGAGGTATCAATTGTAGCACTGTCTGTACTGTGTCAAAGACCTTGGACCCAACAGCCAGATAAGATATATAATTCAAAATATTACCTGTAAAGTAAAATGTCTATAAATGTAAAACAGCTCAAATTCATAATTATGAAATTGCCACTTAACTATGGTGCTTATAATTCTGGGTATGCATAAGGTAGTCAGTTGATACATCCATTTCCCAATTTGACATATTAATATGTTCACACACTTTGAGTTATATGGTTTTCTCACATATAGGTCTTTCAATTTCCAGCCATTGTTATACCACAAAAGTAGTGATAAAATCAGGAAAATTGATAACTAACAAGCCAGCAACATACATGTAAGGGTTTTGATTTCATGAATGCAATCTTTACCACAAAAATGAATAAAAGGAGACACCTTATCAACATAAATGTTATCACTCTAGGTAATTTTAACTCTTCACTAACATTGGGTTCTTTCATAAAAAAACCCATAAAAAATATAAAATGGTTTTTAAAAAATAATTTCTTTACACACTTTCGATTTAAAATAAACTGTGATCATGAACTTGATGAAGTGTGTGATCTCAGTTTACTTTCTTACATCCAGGATGTAAAAAAAAGATATGTTTTTCATATAATAATGTCAATAACATCCTTATTAATATTGTCATATTAAAGCAATTCATTCATCTCTATAGAATGAAATTTTCAGTAAATGTGTTGTCTTATAAAAAAAACTTCCTGTGTTCTCCCCTGGGGCTTATGGGGCTATATTTTTTTAGGTTTTATTATAAAATGTATTATAAATGTGGGGCTATAATTTAGGCAGAAACAGCACTATTCAAATCACATCATGCTTTTTGAGGAGAACATTGAACTTGGATATAAAATCTAGAGAATTTCTTGTTTACTTACTTTTAATACAAAATCTGGAGGAGTTCCTGGTTTAACTGTTTGTCTAAGAACCCCATCATGATGAGAGTGAATTAATGTTTCATCTAAATCTAATACCAATATCTTTCTTTTCAACATACCTGTGAAAAAAAAGTTTGCCAATCACAAGAATGAAAGACTATAATATTCATATCAAAGTAATTAATTCATCTCTTTTAAATTTATTTTAGGTGGATTTCTTTTGCAAGTTTGATAATCTCACGTATGTGCATTCTTTTGAACCCCATTTATAGCAGGGACTTCCATGGAATACTTCACAAAGTAAGCCCAGTGGATATTATATATGGGCAAAAAAAGGTGAAGAAAATATGTAGAAAAACTATTCAGAGGATGCCTTATACACACCGGGTATCCCAATCTGAAACTTGAGGAGGGATCCAAATCCCAAGGAGCAATTAATGAAAAGTTTGATATGGTGGGTAGGTAAAATCTGGAACTGATTCTCACAGAGCATAATTCCTCCCTGAATCAGATTCAGATTTTACTTACCACTTACTACAAACTTTTTATTAGTTGCTCGTCAGATTCAGATCCCTCTGCAGTTTCAGATGGGGATAACTGGAGTGTTATAAGAAATAACATTTCAGTGGTTTTCAGGGTATCTCCTAGGTCAATTTCTTTATTTGCCACCTCTTTTGCCAAAACAATATTTTTTCTGCCAATCTCTATTTTTTTTGCCAACTCATATTTAAACATGTAATGTTTAGAACTTGTTTTCCTTTTTGCTAAAAAAAAAAAACAACTCAGTTTGCAGCATTGTTGTCTCGTTTATTATAATTCTACATATTTATTTCATATCCTACATTGTAATCTATAAATCATGTAAATGAACACTCAATTAGAACAAAAAAAATTTGAACTTTTTTAAAGAAACTGTAAAATTTGACACTGGGAACATCTTCAATAATTATATTGGATACTTCCTGTCTACTTAAAGGACAAAAAATAAATCAGAGATTTTTCTTACATTTGAACCCTTTCTCCAAAATAATAGTTTTTCTTTTCTGAACCATTGTTAAAAGTAAAAGTTGAGACATAAATTATGCTTAAGACAGGTGTGCCGCTAAAAGGATTGTGACTTCAAAACAATTACTTTCGTAAAATCTGTAAAAACAATCCTTTAGATGATATGTGACATAATTTTACCACACATTATCATTAAACAATACAATTAACGCCTTTTTTAATTAGTCCATTGTTGTTGATTGCTATCAAATACAATCAGCTGATTATTGATTTTCTGACAAAATTGATACACCTGACGAGTTCATTGTGAAATCTGAGTATTGTCTGATCAGTGAAAAGTATGAGAAACCTGAAAAATAATAAACAAGATGAACGACTTCCAACCATTACATTTCTTCGACAACCTCTTTAGCCATTCATGATTTTTTAATCGCCACAATTATATTTTTTGACAGCCTGTGGAAACCCTGGTGTTTTTTCCCTGCTTTCTTCTGTTATCAAATCATACAGACTTATTTTCATCATTAGGTGTTGCTTTTAAGTTCATCTTGGCTCAACTTGCAAATCTGTTTTAGAAAAGCACAGCTACTGAGCATGAATTCATATAACATTTCCACTTGTAAGGGACATTTCATTATTGTATTTTTCAATATAAACTAAAATTGATTATTGAAATGTCAGAATTTTGTATGAAATAATGTATAAGTTCACTACTCAACACTATGGGTATACATGTACTCCCCAAAATGATAGTATAATAGGCATACAAATTCTTGAGGTAAAATTGTGAACTCTTGTCCTTTACACTTTCATCTTTTGAAAAAAAAGTGAAATGGAAGTCAAACTGACATTTGACCCTTTTATATTGTTTATATATATGTCTGTGCGTGTCATCTTTTCTTTATGAAATATTTGTGACCTGTTACTTACTCAGTCTGTGTTTAGATAATGGTGACAATGGTATACACTCATATTTAACTGTCTGGTACTGAATTATCTGAAACACAAAATAAGTAAATTAATAGTCAGTTGAAACTATTAAAATAGCTAACTAGAAATACCTACTGCAAACTTTCTTTCTTAATTTTGAATTTAGTAATGTGAATAACCACCAATAATGGGAGATTCATGCAGGAAATTGTGGTTTCTGTGTTCATTATTAAAATGTTAATTATTATGATATTCATACATTCAATTTGTTTTTACTAATAAAATACATTGTATTAACTTCTCAATTAGTTTTCTTTTATTACATACATTCTACATGTACATATAATAACACCACACCTACACTTTCACATTTCCATGTTCAGTGAACAAGAAATCTGGATCAAAACTGACATACATTTAAAAAAATTCACATCAAAATGAACCGGTGTAGTTAGTTTTAAGTTGATGCAGACATAACTTCATGGTAAACTACCATAAACCTACATATGTACATGTACCTTTAACCAAAACTTCCACATGATCAAATCAATGAACTGTGAAATCTGGGTCAATACACTAATTTGGCATATATTTTTTAATTTTTGAAGAAACAAGCGTACTCTGGGACTGGCTGATAGTTTTCCATTTGGTAATCAATCTGGATCATTTTGTCCCAATTCCCTTTAATTTGAACCTAGAGTTGTTTCATCCGAATGCAGGACAACTCGGACCTACTAATAAGTCAACTCCAACAGTCTATAAAGTCAACTTGGACTGTCTATGTAAAGGCAACTTGAGTTGAAATTATAGACAGACTGAGTGGACTTGTACAAGTTATAGATGGTCGGTGTTGACTTATTAAGGGTCCGAGTTGTCTTGCACCCTTTCATCCCAAATCCTCTTCACATCGGGTTATTTTGTCCCAATTTTATGCATAACTGTAATTTGGTCAAGAATATGACCTTTTAATTTGTGTAATGTTTATTTGGCAAGAAATAATGTATAACTAGAACAGTATAAGTGACGCCACCAAAATTCAAACTTGATCTGTGTTTAGTCATGTTAGTGTTAATAAGCATTGTGTATAAGTTTCATATAAACATTTGGTTGAGGTTAACTAAAGTCAGAGAACGTTTTCCATTTGGTAATCAATCTGGATCATTTTGTCCCAATTCCCTTTAATTTGAACCTAGAGTTGTTTCATCCGAATGCAGGACAACTCAGACCTACTAATAAGTCAACTCCAACAGTCTATAAAGTCAACTTGGACTGTCTATGTAAAGGCAACTTGAGTTGAAATTATAGACAGACTGAGTGGACTTGTACAAGTTATAGATGGTCGGTGATGACTTATTAAGGGTCCGAGTTGTCTTGCACCCTTTCATCCCAAATCCTCTTCACATCGGGTTATTTTGTCCCAATTTTATGCATAACTGTAATTTGGTCAAGAATATGACCTTTTAATTTGTGTAATGTTTATTTGGCAAGAAATAATGTACAACTAGAACAGTATAAGTGACGCCACCAAAATTCAAACTTGATCTGTGTTTAGTGTTAATAAGCATTGTGTATAAGTTTCATATAAACATTTGGTTGAGGTTAACTAAAGTCAGAGAACAGAAACGAAAAATTTAGCAATTTTTCCATTTGTAAAAGGGCATAACTCTAGAACGGTAAAAGTGACACCACCAAAATTCAAACTTGATCTGTGTTTTGTGGTAATAAGCATTGTGTACAAGTTTTAGAACATTTGGTTGCAGCAAACTAAAGTAAGTGAACAGAAACCAATTTTGGGACGTACGGACTATGTATGTACGTACAGACGGACACTAAATGCCCCCTCCACTACGGCGGGGGCATAAAAAATGAGAAGTTAACCCAATGACAATGTGTGCAATATGATGACCAACTGGTTTCGTTTCATCTTTGAACATAACTCCTACAAGTCCTATTTTTTTATGACTTGACTGCCAAACAGCACTGAGATGAAATAGAAGAAAAGCTGGTTATTTATCAAATTATGTCACTCACAGCCCTGGCTTGTCGTTTAAAACAGTAGCAAATGAAACTCCATATTTTGGCTGCCAGTAAGAAGAATCCACGCAATCCCATAACAATGTACTTGATCATGAGTGCAAGACTTTTATATTTTGAAGTTTGCAAAGACACATTAATGGGAAATAAATGGGCATGTAGATAGGGAAAGTTAATATATTTCAAGGACGATAGTTTCACTGAATATATGCCGCCATTGAATTCCCATCATGCTCTTAATTTCATTAAGAGCTTCTCTTGGTTTTATCCTGTTTACTTGGATAAAACCAGATAACATCCGAATAATTTCCAACCGGATGTTGAAAATATGGAAGGCGTCGATGGAAACGAAAACAAATCTCACATGCTGGCACTAGAACTTCAAGAAGTGGACACAGTACAATAATGAGTAAAGTGTAAAACCTGAAATATCTAAAGGTACGGACTATAAGCTGAACGATTATTTATATACACCAAGAAGCATAAAGGCAAGCATATTAACCCAATTATTCTTTTTGTTTGGAATGCTGCCAAACAACAAACTGTGACATGTCAACAATAATTGTTGTCAATTATAAAATTTAATATTGTCGGGTACTCACGAAGATTTTTGGTTCTCAACACTTGGATTTTGCAAATTTGTTTAACTTGTCATAATATTTCCCTGTAATTGGATATACAAATCCTTCTCCTTCAAGTTAAAGTCTGAAATTATTAAAGAACAGAAGTACATGTAGTTGCTGCCTGTTTAAAGTTCTGTTGGGCTACTTAAGTCAAACACACACACATATAGTCCCCTAGCTAGTATTTTAACATTTAAAAAATTCTGTTTTGTACGATTAAATTATATACATGGGGTCCCAGTGTCTAATATAACTGGCATACTGGTAAGGGAAACTGGAAGTTTAGCCCGAATCCGGGTCTGTTCGCCCAAAACATACCTGCCAACCTCTGAAACCTTCAAAGAGGGAGATCTTCCTCTCAGCTATGACAGCTGAGGGGGAGATTTTGCGTGAACAACATTTTCAAGCTAAATATATGACCTGTACACTTATTCATCTACAAAACACCAATATGAGTTAATAGATACACTTTATTTCTTCAATTCATGGTTGTATTCTATAAAAGGTGTCCCCCCCTTTTTCAATACATCCAAGTCTCATAACTCGTAACATTCCATATTTTGATTTTGTTGTGAGTCTCACACTAAGCATGGTTTTGAACATCGTACAGACCACCAGAAGCAACCAAAAAGTTTGATTGAACATAATGTGCACAATAGGGATTCATTAATTTATTGTGCCAAGTGAACTAGGTCCAAAAAATTGAAATTTTTCATCTGGCCAATCTGCTTGACATTTGCAGTTATATTTATTCTTTTTTACAATGCCGCTTGGTCAAGACAAAGACCTCTATCTTGTTGGAGCTGACATAGCAGAAATGATATGCGCTTCCTATTAAATCGATCATAAAATTACTGACCAAAGTTTTCAAATGATTGCTGATTGCTTTTAGTTTTTTCTTTATATTGATAGTAAAGAAAAGTCCTGAGAAATACGAACGTGGTCATTCCAGGTTAAAATATCTGAAAGCGGGAGATTTAATACTCCTGTGCCGGGGAGGACTGGAAAGCTAGAGATTTCCGGAATTTAGTCGTTTGCTTGGGAGACTCGATCCGCTCAAAGCAGGGGGGTTGGCAGTTATGGCCCAAAATTACGTTCGCTCCTATTCACGTTCGCACCGCACACGTTTGCACCCTTTTTATTGATTTTGTGCTTAATGTTTTTTATGCCCCCGCTGTAGGGGAGGGCGCATTAAGTCTTACCTTTGTCCGTCTGTATGTCCGTTTGTATGTCCCACAAATTGGTTTCCGTTCTCTAACTCAAGTTTGCCTCAACCAAATGTTATGAAACTTGTACACAATGCTTATTACCACAAAACACAGATTAAGATTGCATTTTGGTGGCGTTACTTTTACTGTTCTAGAGTTATGCCCCTTTACAAATGGAAAAATTGTCGAATTTTTGGTTTTTGTTCTTTAACTTAAGTTTGTTTCGACCAAATGTTATGAAAATTATATGCAATGCTTATTACCACAAAACCCAGATCAAGTTCGAGTTTTGGTGGCATCTATTTTACTGTTTAAGAGTTGTGCTCCTTTACAAATGGACAAATTGCTGAATTTTTGTTTCTGTTCTCTAACTTAAGTTTGCCTCAACCAAATGTTATGAAACTTATACACAATGCTTATTACCACAAAATTCAGATCAAGTATGAATTTGGGTAGTGTCACTTTTACCGTTCTTGAGTTATGTCCCTTTATAACGTTATATGCAAGCTGGGGCATCATCTGTGTCCCATGGACACATTCTCCATTTATTTAATTGTGTTTTAGTTAGTGTATTGCTATAAATAAGTTTTTTATTGTTTGAAACGAAAGTTACATTCTAAAAACGTGAACAGGTTTCCTACTTCATGCACTTTAACTGCTCACAATCATTCAAATCATGAAATTTTTCATTTAAAAGACAGTACTAAAATGTTAAGAGTAACTAGTTTAATGAAATTTAAAAGAACACGTACTAAAATATTTAAAAAAAAACCATTAACACAAATACTATATAATATGCACTAATGTTAACAGTTTATTTAAGAATTAATGTATTAAATTCAAATAACTGTCACAAGTCAAAGTCTACTGTAGCGGAAAGTCGTCAACTGGTTTGTCTGATGGTCCATACAGTCTTCATCAAATCCCCCTAAAAAATATTTCATTTTGAAATTCCTTAATATTAATTAATGAAAATATAAATATTTTGATTTATACATCAAAAACACATCTAATAATTCAATCGGTATTTGAATAGAAATATGATGTGAAGAGACCCAGGGGGTGAACGTGTGGGGTGCGAACCTGTATTGGGAGCGATAGACCCGCATTGGGTTAGCCCTAAACTTCTCTATGGAGGCTGAAAGGAGATTGCTATAATCTGGTGTTGGATTTTGTATAGCATACATAGTCTAGCATTGAGGCTTCTTTGTTCTAGACTTTGCCATCCTAGTGTTGCTATCATGTTGGTCATACATCCAGGTGTTCTGTCTGTATAGTTGTTGGTGACAAAACTTGCCACTCTTTTTAGGCCTTGATTTGACACTAATTTGCCGATATTTTTCTGTATGCAGTGCCCTTAACTACTACCTCTCGTTAGAATTTCGGCCACTGCACAGCACATATGGCTGTAATGTCTGTAGTGAAAGATTTCATCAAATAGTTTAGAATGTATAAGGTTCACTATTATGCATGATGTTTGATATCTGATGATAAATTAAAATATGTCATAGTCTTTTCTTTTGTTTTTTCAGAATGGTGCTATGGGTAGTTTAGAAGGAACATTTGATACTAGCCTCCATGAAGCTGTTCGTTTTGGAGATCTAGATGAAGTGAAAGTAGCATTACAGCAAGGTTATGACCCAAACTTGATTGGTCTGTATCAGTGGAGTGCATTACATGAAGCTGCACATAATGGAGAGGTCGATATTCTAAAATGCCTACTTAAGAATAAAGGTTAGAATAACTGTTGACAGATTTCTGCTGAAATGCAAATAATTTTCAATAGCACATGTCTCTGCATTTCAGTATTTAAAGGTCATGCAATACTTGACCACTGAGGCTTTTACCAAAAAATATAAAAATAAGAAGATGTAAGACACCTATCAATTAGAGGCTAAATGACAAAGATGTACACAACTAAAGGTCACACTCACCATACAACCTTCAACAATGAGCAAAATCCACACTGTATATAGTAACCTATAACAGACCCAACATGACAAAATGTAATAGAATTAAAAAAAATACAAAACCAACTGCATGATTTTATCTAAAAGAATTAAATAAAAAAAAAATATGAAAGACAGCTACCGATGACAAATTCTCGACTACAAGTTCTGGCTTGGAACAAGGCATATGAAGAATGTAGTGAGTGCTACGAAGTTAAATGCCTGCAAAAAATAATACTAGATAAATGAAATTGAAAAAAAAGATCTGTAAATAATTACCTACAAAAAATAGTACTGAATAAATAAGACTGAATATGTTTTTGTGTAAACCTCATCTAAATGCTTGGTTATAGGAGATCCTGACAGAAAGGATTTCTTACAGGGATATACATCTCTTCATTATGCTGCCAGAGAAGATCATGTGGAGTGTTTACAATTGTTGCTGGAGGGAGGAGGAGATTACAGTATATCTAATAACAATGGTACATCATGTCTGGATATAGCAAAGGGACAGTGCTTAGATCTTCTACAATCATTACGTAAGTTCTGTAGATTTTTTTTTATGTTTCACAAGGTAGATTAATTCCATTAACATATAGTAAATTTTTATCCAGACTAAAACATTCGTTGTCACATTTTGGTATCAATCTGGACCAATATTCTGGGCATAATTTTCGCAGAGGGGGTGTCTCTTTTGCCCTGGAATGTGGCATTCCTACGGAGTTAATACAGTCTCAGGGAATAATAAAATTTTATATTAGGAAGGTTTGAAGGACAGATTTTTTTGTTTAGATTATCTCCTTTAAGAGAAATCTACTTATCATTATAGATGATGCTTCTTTGAGGAGTCTCCTTGAAGATAGGAAGGTATTAAATCTGAAAATAAGGGGAGATAATATTAGTCTGACAAGGGCTATTGTAGTAATAATAGAATATACATTTAGGCTCTTTATTGAAGAGAAGAGAAATTTTAAAGGCTTTTATATAAGGCAAAAGAACTTATTCACATTAAATTATTTAAGTTTTCTCATCTTAATTGATTTCATTATCAGGAGCTAAAGACTTAATGCAGTTATCTCTGGAGGATGCAAAGAAAATAACCACAGTAAAGAAAGATATAGATGATGACCTTGACCTTTCAATATCCAGTAGTACTGACCTTAGTATTATTACAGATGAAGAAAAACCACCAGGTAAAATAATTTTCTGCAATGACCTTTTGTTGGCTTATGAATAAAGACAGGAGGTATCTTACCAAAAATTAATCAAAAAGGTCTAAAACTAGTAAAATGTGTGTATATTAATTAATCATTCTTATACGACGGCAAAAAAAATTTGCGGTCGTATTTTGGAATGACGTTGACGTCATCGTCGTCGTCGTCGTCCGAAGATACATTGGTTTTCGCACTCTAACTTTAGTTTAAGTGAATAGATCTCTATGAAATTTTACCATAAGGTTTAATACCACAAAAGGAAGATTGGGATTGATTTTGGGGGTTATGGTACCAACAGTTAAGGAATTAGGGGCCAAAAATAAGCATTTTTATAACTTCCAGACATAACTTGTGTGTTAGTGTATGGATCTCTCTGACATTGTACCACAAGGTTCCATATCACAAAGGGAATGCTGGGATTGATTTTGGGGGTAATTGCCTCAAAATTTTAGGAATTAGGGGCAAAAAACAAGCATTTTTCTAGTTTCATGACAATAACTTGTGTATAAGTGTATGGATCTTTCTGAAATTGTACTACAAGGTTCTATATCACAAAGGAAAAGCTGGAATTGAGTTTGGGGGTAATTGCCCAAAACGTTTAGGAATAAGGGGCCAAAAATAAGCATTTTTCTAGTTTCCAGACAATAACTTGTGTTCAAGTGTATGGATCTCTCTGAAACTGCACTGCAAGGTACCATACCACAAAGGGAAGGCTGGGATTGATTTCGGGGGAAATTGCCTCAAAATTTTTGGAATAAAGGGGCAAAAAACAATAAAATTGAGAATGGAAATGGGGAATGTGTCAAAGAGACAACAACCCGACCACAGAACAGACAACAGCAGAAGGCCACCAACAGGTCTTCAATGCAGCGAGAAATTCCCGCACCCGGAGGCGTCCTTCAGCTGGCCCCTAAACAAATATATATACTAGTTCAGTGATAATGAACGCCATACTAAACTCCAAATTGTACACAAGAAACTAAAATTAAAAATAATACAAGACTAACAAAGGCTAGAGGCTCCTGACTTGGGACAGGCGCAAAAATGCGGCGGGGTTAAACATGTTTATGAGATCTCAACCCTCCCCCTATACCTCTAGCCAATGTAGAAAAGTAAACGCATAACAATACGCACATTAAAATTCAGTTCAAGAGAAGTCCGAGTCTGATGTCAGAAGATGTAACCAAAGAAAATAAACAAAATGACAATAATACATAAATAACAACAGACTACTAGCAGTTAACTGACATGCCAGCTCCAGACTTCAATTAAACTGATTGAAAGATTATGTCTTCATCATATGAATATCAGGCACAATCCTTCCCGTTAGGGGTTTAGTATCATACCATCATAACATATATGAGAAGAACATAACCCGTGTCATGCCAACAACTGGTTTTTAAATAAATGTGTTTAGTGCAGATGCAAAGACCCTATAAGTGAATCAATATCAACGCCAAAATATGCAATCTTTAATGACCTGACAACAGTATCGTAACTATATCCCTTCTTAATAAGTCTATTTAAAGGTTTTGTTAGTTTCAGAGGTGAATACTGACATTTTTGTGCTTTATAAAGAATATTTCCATAAAAAATTGGATGTGAAATACCTGAACGTATAAGAAGTCTGCATGTTGAGCTATATTTACGAATGATGTCCTTATACCGATGATAAAATTTAGTAAATGTTTTGACTAGTTTGTGATATCGAAAACCCTGGTGTAATAATTTTTCAGTAATACATACATTTCTCTCGTTAAAATCTAAAACATTGTTACATACACGAGCGAATCGTACAAGTTGAGATATATAAACACCGTAAGATGGTGACAAGGGAACGTCACCATCTAAAAATGGATAATTAACGATAGGAAATGAAAAATCATCTCTTTTATCATATATTTTAGTATTAAGCTTTCCGTTAATGATATAGATATCAAGATCGAGGAAAGGGCAGTGGTCATTGTTAGTATTAGCTTTATTTAAAGTAAGTTCAACAGGATAAATTTCTTTAGTATACATACTGAAGTCGTCATTATTGAGAGCCAAAATATCATCCAAATATCTAAAAGTATTATTAAATTTGTGTATCAGATGTTGTTTCGATGGGTCTTTACTGATTTTTGTCATAAATTGTAACTCATAGCAATACAAAAAAAGGTCCGCAATAAGTGGTGCACAGTTAGTCCCCATTGGAATTCCGATAACCTGACGATATACGGAATCTCCAAAGCGAACAAAAATGTTATCTAGTAAAAATTCAAGGGCATATATAGTATCAAAGCATGTCCAATTGACATAGTTTTTTTGTTTATTGCTACTAAAAAATGACCTAAAAGAGTTTGAACATATATATTCACATTCTGACTTTTTTCTAGTTTTAGGACAATAACTTGTGTGTAAGTATATGGATCTTTATGAAATTGTACTACAAGGTTCCATATCACAAAGGGAAAGCTGGGTTTGAGTTTTGGAGTAATTGCCCTAAATGTTTAGGAATTTGGGGCCAAGTGGGGCCAAAAAACAAGCATTTTTCTAGTTTCCAGACAATAACTTGTGTTCAAGTGTATGGATCTCTCTGAAATTGTACTGCAATGTACCATACCACAAAGGGAAGGCTGGGATTGAGTTTGGGGGTGATGAATCATAAGGGGGTTCAAAAAATTTGGGGGGGGGGGATTTTTTTTTCCTTTCTTTTTTTCTTTAAAATTTTCCATTTTAAATTGGTTATTTCTGATTTATATATAAAAGCAAATAATAATGATATGGTTTGAATAGGTAAATTAAAAAATTTTAAGTTCTTAGACCACATTCATTCTGTGTCAGAAACCTGTGCTGTGTCAAATATTTAATCACAATCCAAATTCAGTGCTGTATCAAGCTTGAATGTTGTGTCCATACTTGCCCAACTGTTCAGGGTTCGACCTCTGCGGTTGTATCAAGCTGCGCCCAGCGAAGCATTTTATTTAAAATTTAAATACATTTTAAATGCAGCCATAAAGTTCTATTATCTTAGATTTGTTGATTGATGGTGTTTAACACCACTTTCAACACTTAGCTATATCATGGGTTTTGCATGGCTGGCAGTTTTTATTGGTGGAGGAAGCCTTAGAGAAACACAATCTTTGGCAATCCTTGTCCCTCAAGATCAGAGTCCAATTTACCTGCCTAGAGGGGGTTTAAACTCATAACCTCAGTGTGTTAACTGACTAGTGATCACTGTAGATTAATTTACTCATACTTTATAGACCATTTGGCCACAGAATTCTTGTATGAACTTAATAAAATTGAGAATGGAAATGGGGAATGTGTCAAAGAGACAACAACCCGACCATAGAGCAGACAACAGCCGAAGGCCACCAATGGGTCTTCAATGCAGCGAGAAACTCCCGCACCCGGAGGCGTCCTTCAGCTGGCCCCTAAACAAATATGTATACTTGTTATATATATATGCACTGATTTAACAATTATAAATTATCTCATCTCAGATCTGAACCTCTATAAATAAATGTAATTAGTAATACTATTCTCAGTATATTTTAAAAGAACACTTAATGTATTTATTTATTGTTGATATGTATATATAACTTTTGGTATTTTGGTCAGAGTTTTCACTTAGGTAAGTGTATAAGTTGAGAACATGCAGAATGCTTAAGTGATGAAACAATTAAGACAGTGAAATATATACGATGTTATATGCTGGAAAAAAATTGTTTCATGAATGCAGTTGGAATATTCTTAATTATTTATGGTTAGAGATTGAGTTTAGCTCTTATTAAGCGAGTTAAATTCATATGTACTCTGACTAAAGGGAAATCAAAGTATTTTTCTATAGGAGTTCCAGTGTCAAAGGGAAACGACTCTCTTTGCAGGATTTTGTTAAGTTATATCAGTGTTCTCCCCAGATATTTCATTTAGCATCCTGGTAAACAGGGAAATTTGTAAATACCATCTTGTTTCTAAATATTATAGCATCACATCCATAACACAATCTATAAGAAAATTAATTCAGAAAGCTTCACATTCAAGAAATATAACATCACATTACCATGATGCTAAAAGGCCCTGGGGAGAACACTGAGTTATATATTAAATCCATTAATCTTTTGCATCAACCATGCAACATGATTAATATAAAACCTTTAAAAATAGTTATTCTACAACTATTTAATGTTGAAAGCTTAGGTTATCATGGTATGTAAATTTTAAAAGTTTTAAGATTTTGAAGGAGTTTTTATTTTGCAATTTGGAAAAGACCATTCATAGTGTTGTTAGAAGTTTTATGCAGCTGAAGTAGCAAAACCTTTATTCTTTATTGGACGATTCCACAGGATTGAATATCTAGCAACACATAGTGCGATTATTTCATCAATTAGTTTTTCAAAATAGCTATAATCAATATCACATGGCGGAGTTAAAAACAGTGTTCATAATTGTTGTTATTTTTTTTTTTCAGCAATTGGATATATCCACCTGACATTTGAATACAACTCTAAGAAAAGTTCTTTAAAGATCAGAGTATGGCAAATTACAGACCTTCTGTTACCTCCTAGTAAGTAGATAAGGAATTAAAAAAAAACGGATGAAAAAGGCAGTGCTGACAGAGTAAGAAATAGGCAGGATATACAAAAGCCCTTTAATGCTTTGTCTTTTTTCATTTATAGACCTTTGATTTTGATTTGTAGGTCATTATTTTTGGATCAGAAACTTAATTTGAATAATTTCATGTTTTTGATGATGGATTTGGGATACTAAAGGTTACCAAGCTTATATGTACTGTGAAATCTAAACTGAGATGAAAATAAAAAAATTGCATAAGTTAAAATTTAAGCCTATTTACTGCGATCAATTATACATTTTTTTGCCTGCAATAAAATTCTTGTCTCAGCTATTTCTAAATATATAGAGTAGTCTCCCCTATTCCATTTTTCATTTCAGTGAGTTTTGAGGTTGCACTTTGACAAGATTACTGGTTCACCAACTATGCCTCTATTCATGAGATATTTATATTCATTAGACATTTCATTTTGTTGTTTTTTTGTTTCCAAGATATGATTCTCATGTTTTATCTTTACATGCTTTAAGACACTACAAATTTACTGGTCTAAATACAGTTTGATAGCAGTAAAATATTCCCATAAAGTTATGAGGTACTTTTACTGTCATGAGTTTACTACCACAGGGGTTCAAATTAGCGGTGGTCCAAGGTCCGTGACCTTCCACTGTTGCAATTGGACTTTCGTTTTGGTTACTAGTTACGCCCGACGGACCTTCGATTTTAAAGGAAATAAAAATGATCTTTGCTGACCTTATAATATCTGTATCGTCATTTTTAAGCCATATTATTAATGAAATTGAGATAAAAAAATGTTTCATCCCTGACCTTGCCGACGAGTGATAAAAGTTATTTTTAACCTTGTATTCTTGGAAACACCAGGTTATAAATAGTTGCGAGAAGTCATGTGACAAATCATTTAATCATATAGACGTTTTCAAACAAAATGAGTCCGTTTCACCAGAGACATATAATACAATGTATTATATGTCTCTGGTTTCACTTTGGTGTCACTTCTTCCAAGAGAAAGCCTGAAGATCATGAACGGTCTTCAACCACAGGCACTTGTTTCTATTCATGGGAAGGTCGACTATCCATAAATATAGAAGGATATTCAACCTTCCAATGGATAGAAACAAGTGCCTGTGTCTTCAATGTCTTCAAAAGAAATTAAAAGAAGATCTCACTTAAGACCAAAAATGCGATCGTGAAAAAGGGGAACAGACATTTAAGCCCCACTGGAAAATCGATCGAACCGATATTTTGATGAATCAACTTGTCTAATGTCATGCACACACTGCCAGAAGTTCCCCAACCATCCAGAAAGTAAGGGGAACACAAAATCTTAAAATAGACCCAATAAAAATATATGAAGTGACATTCAGCATTTATCTTATCTATGAAAGTGACCCAAATTTTAAGTCTAAAGATTAATTGTCAGACACTAAACTTGGACAATGTATTCTCAAGCAGCAATGTAAGCCTAATCAGTTAAATAGATATAAGGTTCTTTTCAACACTGCATACAGTATTGCAAAAATGGGAAACCCTTCAGTGACTATGAATTTAGTCTCCGTTGAAATCCAGTGCAAAAATGGTGTTGATGTGTAAGCAGTATTTCAATATTGAAGGTTGTAAACTGTTTATTCGCTGAATAGCCCATTATATGAGAAACGAAACATCACATGCAGTTAAAATATGATGAAACAAACTAACTTTACTCCAAAAGCACATTAATTTTGTATCTTATTGAGTTATGAAATATTTCATGCAAAAGTAGGACCTGGGATTTAGGTTGTGGACCTTTTAGTTTGGAGTGTCAAAGGTCCTGGACCTTCCAGTACAAAATGTTAATTTGAACCCCTGCTACCAGATCTAATATCTGATTTCCATCCGTTTATAATATATAAATGGTTTTGTATTTCCTTTCTAGTTTTAATACAGACATATGCTGCTTACCAGTACACAAAAATAAAAATAAAAACAACATTCTCACAATACCTGGTACTTTTTATTTACTTCATAAACCTCAAAAACATTATACGAAAGTAATAAACAAAAAAAGTATAAAATTTATGACAAATATTGAATGTGTTAATCAAAACTGGTTAATGACTGTGGTGTGTTATTATAGACAAATGTTCTTTATTCTCAAAACTACATATAGTATAGTTACAGAGAAAATATACAAATGTACATATAATTACAATTATTTGTATGTTAAAAGATTAATATATATGAAATAGGAAGACTGACCTCCACATACTCTACCTCTAATAAGAATAGTTTTATAATACAATTGGCCGATTCAGTAATTCATCTTTTGCCCTTGTAAATTACATTGTTTAGTTTCAGCATCCTCAAAAATGATGTTTTGAACTCTTGGCTTATCAAAACATCAAAAGAACTGACATACCAATATATTCCCCCAATCGGAACATCAAAACATTGACATTCCCACAATGCAGCACTATCACAGAATTTATTCTCATACTTTGAGCAATTATACAAACTACCTGATTTTTATTTATCTGGATTTCATGGACAATATAATATATTTGTACATGTATATCATGGTAATTTCATTATTGATTTTATTTTCATATAATTTTCTTGTCTTTTAGCCAATACATAAATCATATAATTTTCTTGTCTTTTAGCAAATACATCAATCATATAATTTTCTTGTCTTTTAGCCAATACATCAATGATTCACTCTCTGTTTATCAAATCCTACCTCATGCCTGACAAGAAGAAAGATTCTAAAAGAAAAACCGAGGAGGTGAGGGTGGATTCATCAGAGGCTCATGTAAAGACAAAAAGTTCACATCTTAGTGTACAGCATGTATATTCACCATCCACATTCAAATTCACAAAACCACTCGAGTATGATTGTATTGCGAAAGACATGATTAAGGAGCGAAGTGTTCAGATTGAATTGTGTTTGACACAGAAATATTCAAAGCGAAGTTTTCTCATAGGCATGTTTCATATGAAGTTGAAAGATGCAGTCAAAAAGATGGTTCGAGAGAAATATCCCCTGATTCCTTGTATGAATCATACAATTCCTGCCAATATGAAAGTTTACTGTGCTTCAGAGTTGAAAATAACTAATTCTAAGAAAGTGTTTTATAGCAATCCTGATGTTAGAAATCTGTCTGATGCCATGTCAGATTGTTCTAGTCGAGCAGCTAGCAATCCTGACATGCATGAGGTTAACTTGGAAATTGAATCTGAATTGTCACCAGTAAAACTGGAAATGTCAGAAATTCAAGATTATGTTTCAAATGAACAGAAAAAACAAAAGGAAATTGAGAAACAACTCCTGACAAAAATCCCTGGATTGACCGATTTAAATTTTGACATAGCAGAAGATGTGCAATCTGGAGAAGGAGAGCTCTTATCTAGAGTTGTTGATATTACAGATTATGGAGATGAAAGGGAGGTCAAGAGAAAATCTGCCTTCACCTCAGTTTTGAAATCTAAACTTTCACCGAAAAAGAAAACTGAAGTACAAAACATAGCTAGCTCACAGCAGCATAGTATAGAACTTGATGAAAGATTATCTCCACGATTTGTGGAAGATTGGAAATACCAAAATATTAAGGATCCAGAACAACACATACCAGAAACTAAGATTAATATACCAAATAAACATGTCAAGATTAAAGAGCCTGTAAAAACTAAAGCAAAGGAAGAAAAGGATGAAGGTCAGAGTTCACGACCTGAAACTCCAACGTGGGACTATTATGATTTAGACTTAGAACCAGTTGAAATTGCTATAAATGACTCATCACCAACTTCTGATGGAGCTCAACCAATTTATCTCCCCATGGATACAACCATGGGAATTAAAAAACAGAAAAGTGAAATGACCAAAGGTCAACAGAAAGGTCACCGAAAGAGTGCAAAACGAAAAGACAAACCAATACCCGGAAAAGCTGTTCCACAGATCATTATTACTGATGCTGAAAATGATAGGAATGAAAATAGGAAATCTTATGAATTTGTTACACCAAGAAATGTAACAATTGAAATGGGAGTTGACAAATTGTCAAACCAAAATAAATCAAATGCTCAAATAACAGTGACTGCTGATGTTCACTTGCCAAAAACAAATCTTGAGAGAAGTGAAAGTACAACGATTGAGATTCAAGATTCAGATTCATTTATCATTGACTTAGAAGACATAGACTCGATAACGCCATCTCCAAAACTAGATTTATCAGCAAAACAATCCATTCCTATGCAAGTTTTTATTGATGAAAATTATGACAGTTTCGACGAGGCCAGTATAGAAGAAATTCGCCACCCTTATATTGTGTCTAAAAATAATGATTTGATTACAGAAGTATAAGTTCTTGGTGCTACAAAAATACTTTTTTCCAATTCATGTAAATTTTATTCTTCCATAGTTTTTCATTGATTATGCATGAATAGAATCAACAATGCTATGGTTTATATTTTAACAAGAATCTACCATTATCTTTGAATTTTAAGCAATAATTTTTACTATTTATTAATTTTTTTATTTTCTTAAATTTTGACAAGTTATAACAAAGGGCTATTCTTTTGGAATGAAATAGAGATGGTAGGAAGGGATGCTTTATTTTTGGACATATGTTGTTTTGGTAATTTATGGATAATTTTTCTTTTGATGTGTTCTTAAGTCTATTGAATGTAATGTAGGTTGTTTGGGGATTTTGCACTTTGGGATCTTCCCTTTCTATCTCCAATGTCTATTTTAATAGAATAGTCCTAATGGTAAACCTTTTAATGGGATTGTTACGAATAAGTTTCATTTTTTACAAAGATTTTAAAACTCAAATTAAATTTATAAAAATGTGTGTTCTATTCATAATATGTATAGGGGGAAAATAGCTGCTAATTATAAATATTTATGCAAATTTATGTAAATTTTCTATATAAGTGTACATTTATCTCAGGAACTTTTTTGCCATTACAGACCACTCGAATTCATAGGGCTATATATATAAGGCATGCTAGAATGCAGATTGAATGTAAGTTTTTTTATTTGGATAAACGTATAGGGTTGGCACCTTCAAACTAGTTTTACCCCGCCACATTCTGTATTTGCCTGACCCAAGTCAGGAGCCTGTAATTCAGTGGTTGTCCATTGTTGCTGTATATCATATTTGTTTTTCGTTCATTGTTTTGTAAATCTGGTTGTTAGTTTTCTCGTTTGAATTGTTTTACATTTGTCATTTTGGGGGGCCTTTTATAGCAGTCTATGCAGTATGGGTTTTGCTCAATGTTGAAGACTGTACGATGACCTATATTTGTTAACTTCTATGTCAATTGGTCTTTCTGGAGAGTTGTCTTATTGGCAATCATACCACATTGTCTTATTTTTATATCGTTATTGGCATGCTATGAAACAAAGTTTTGCAACAGAACAAATCTAACCAGATAGTTTTAGGCGTAATTTGAAAAAATTTAAGTTGTAAGTAAATGCTAGCAATATTTAATCAAAATCTCATGTATCATGTGTAGGTAGCAGGAAAGGAAAAATATAAATTCTTCAATACATACACTTATCTATAGAGAAAGCGTTTGGCTCATTTTATATAGTATTATATACACATTTCATGACATATAAATGGAATATTGTTATAAATTGTTTCAAGGTTAAAAATATATTTGGATGATTAATATTTATATTCAATGTTGTGACAAAAAGTTATGAGTAAAAATTATGTTATAATTATAATATAAAGTTACTACTGAAGCTTATGTACATGTAGAACAATTAATACTATTAATAAATTTATCCATTTACTTGATTTAATGACTTGTACTTTTATAGTATGGCATGTTTTTTCACCTTGACCTATTTCACCAAGACTATACATTGTTGACCAAACACATGTACATTTTGTACTGTAACTAAGCTTTTTTAATGCTTAGAATATATTTAGACACATTAATGTCAGTATAATCCATAGTAAATTATATAACACATCATATTCATAGAATTACTGTGTTAAGATTTGACTGCCAAAATAGTAACCAAGGTTGGCGCTTAAGTACACAACCTGATGGGGAGTGCATTTTGTTTTCAATCAATGTTAGTATTTTTATATAAGAATTTTTTTTTCTTATTTTTATACCAAGTTTAACATAGTGCAGTGGCATTTTGTTTTTGTGTCTTCGTAAATGGTGTTTTTATCAATCAGAATTGCCAAACATTGATGTCAAAAAGATACAACACCAACCATTAATAGTACATAATTTTGTTTCCAATTCTTTCAAGTTGATAAACCGTTTGTAAAATGTAGAACTAATTGATATGACTAAGAACAATCACAGATTAGAAAATCTGACAGTGTTTGATAGTTTAACAAAAGATTTATCTAAATCTACGAATACTAAAACATGTTTGTTAGTTCTTATTAATTTGTACTAATTGATATTATTAATCTGTGCAATAATTGTATTTATTTCTAAGCTGCTGGCAGCAAAACTATTATTTGTTATTTTAAAATAATATTACTTGTTGTGTCTCAAGTTATGATTTTTATCTGTGCATTGATGTTGAAAAACTTTTATATTGTTTTTGAAATTATCTTAATTACTGTTTGCAATGGTTGAATTGATGCTTTTGTTAATATTTTTTCTTGATTGCTTATGGATGACATAGGTGTTAATCTTGTAGATTCAGGGTTAACAACTTGTATGAAGCTTTTTTTCAGACTTTTCAAGGTTAAATTTCGAAAGGTAGCATGCTTTATTAATCTCAAAATTAGTAAAGTTTATCCATTTCAGTGGCGGATGCAGACATTTTCATAAGGGGGCAGCTCTAGTCATGCTTCAGTGGTCCCTAAATAATCAACCAAATTTTTCCCACAAAAGGGTGGCCCGGGCACCCTCTAGATCTGCCTCTGCATTTGACCTTATACCAATTGTGTCAATTGTAAAAAAATATTGTATTTTTGATTGGAAATCAATTTTAAAGAAATGTCAATATTTTTTATTGACAATCAATTGTAAACAATTTCCAGTACAGGAATACCTGAATATGTATTCAATATAAAAAATCTTCATTTAAACAATGTGAATACATAGTAATTGGAGTGTGGTGCATTTTTGTTCAAATTTCTTTGATGATATTACATATAAATGCCATAAATTTGCTGTGTTTCTTAAGCTTCAGCACATTCATTCCCAAAACTATCTCAAACATCAGGAGTTTAAATATAACTGTGAGAACATCCTCATGCATGGTCACAAAATATTGATCAATTACAGTTTATGAAGTGCAAATATGTTCCTGAAATTGCTGATTTATCAAAACTTTTTATATTTAATCCCATGTATATTTTTGTATACCACAAACCGTAAAAAAGGAATTTACCCTAAAACATCTGTAAATTTCTTCAATGTGGTACATCAAATATAATTTACTAATTTAGCATTCAAGGTAAAAATTGGTATATCCTTATATATATTTATAGATCTATTCTAAATTAAACAGATAATGACTGGATTATCATGAGTATTGCTTGACTTGTCTTCCAGTAGATTTTATATAATTATATATATATAAATATATACACATACATATGTATTCATGTTTAAAGAAGTGAAATTGTTACTTATATAAAATAGTTAAATCCTGTTCAATATTTGTCTTTATTGTCAGAATGCGAATCATAATGATGTTTATCCAGTGGCTTTATATTTAAACAGGTAGAAAACCTGGATACATCATGTCTTGTATACAAAGGCCTTATGTTCTGAAGTTTCTATCTGGCATATATCTGTAGTACATGTACATGAGATCATTTTTATGGCTCATTTAATGCTAAAAAAAGGGTAAAGGATTTTTTTTACAAGTGATTTACTCACTAATTATGAGTAATTGGACAACTATTTATGGTATATATAGAATCATTGCAAGGTAAACATGTAGTGTTAGACAGGGTTCACCGGACCTTAACCTTTTTTCATGGATCAATGATCATGTTGAGTTTTCTTGCTGAGGTCCTTTTCTCAGAAAAAATAAGCAATAGGTAAAACTTTATTCTGTGTATTGAATGATTGTAAAGTGTACATGTTGGTCATGCAGGGTTCATCTGACCTTGACCTCATTTTTATGGTTCAATGGTTATCATTAAGTTTTTGTCTGCTATGTCTGTTTCTCAGATAAGTACTCTAAGTAATTGTTCACCAATTGGTGTATGGAATGATTGGATAGTATACATGTCAGTCTGGAAGGATTCATCTGACCTTGACCTCATTTTAAGGGTTCATTGGTTATCTTTACGTTAAGGTTGTAATTTTTGTTTCTCGGATACTCTAAGCAATAGGTCAACTAAATTTGGTGCACTGAATGATAAGGTGTAACTTTGTCTGTCTGTCGGGGTTCATCTGATCTTGAATCATTTTCATGGATCATGGATAATGTTAAGTGTATGTGATACCTGAAGTAAAACCTTGATTTGTAAAAGATTTGAACATAAAATTAGACCATTATTGACTGTCTTGGAGGTCTCTTGGTACAGTGTGCTTGCCTTGAGGGAGGTCATGTGGTTGATTCTTGGCTGGGTCAAACCAAAGACTTAAAAAATAGTATTTTCTGCTTCTCTTCTAGGCACACAGTATAAAGGAGTAAGAGCAAATCCAGTCGTCTCAAAAAGTCAGAATAATATGTCCTAGTAGGGTAAAAGTTTGTTGGTCTGGAACAAAGCAGGGTTCATATTTATTTCACATTAACATGTTCTCATCCTGAATATGCATTTTATTTGCCATTGGACATTAAACAACCATCTATCATCATCAATCATGATCAGTAAAGCAGGCAAGAAATTTCAGGATGTGCACTATTGTTCTGAATGAGGTTCCACTAGATTTTTTTCAGAAATATTAAACTCACTTGATTGCAAATGAGTGACATGAGTTTATTATAGTAAAGATAGTAACTATTACTGTTATCTGAAATGCATCCATTGTTGAAAAGTCCTGAAACACAAGGAGGTATAAAATGGGTAGGTCAGTTCAGGTACGCAAAAATTGGACATTCTTTTGTTAGAAATCTGTATAATGGGACATTTATGCTGACCTGGTCTGCCATAACTATTTCCAGAGCAAGATGATGACATCACTTACACTGGCAGTCAACATAAAAGTGATGCTGTATTAAACTGCCAGGCGCTATTTGAATGAAAGAACACAAATACATCAATCTTCCCCTGTCAAAGTCCAAAAAAAGACTGAAATTGTCCACTTTTAACCAGGAGTCTGTTCAACACACTTTTTTCCTGATGTTGCACAGGTGCTTCCCCCCTTTTTACCTTTTCCTACAGGGTTGAGGAACATGTCTAAACTGCATGAAAGGATAAATGTTTGAGTACATTGTGGGGCTTTCCTTGTTCCTGTTTTGTTATGTACAGAATTTTCAGTAAGAAGACAAGTGACGAACAATTTAAAAATCAAAGCATTATCGGTGCTGTGATCCAGCCATTTTTTAGCTACAGTTAGTCAGACATTTTTTTTTACTCATATTTAATATTTCTTTTTTTATACAATTGTTTGTAAGACATTTATATAGAGACAAACATCACAACTTTGGATAAGTGATTTAGCCCAAAATGTTTTAACTTGTGTTTTTAAACTTTTAAGAGAGTTTTAGAACGGGTACTGATTTTTGATATCTTCTTTTATTAATTAAATGATTTTGAATGACATGATTGGAAATAGAAATCATCAATAGAAGGTGTAGTATATGTTAAGGGAGCTACCATTTGATTTTTATGTCCTGCATTTTTTTTTATAGTTGAAGTCTCTGTCCTGCCTTTTTATTTTTCACTCTACTTGGTGCAGCCTTTTTTTATTAGTTTATCCTGACTTCTTTTTTACATAAATTGTCATCGGGCCTGCCCTTTTTTTTTAACTCAAAACTCCTGTCCTGCCTTTTTTCAAATTTCATCCTAGCCCCCTTACACAGTTATATAGCAATATAATAGGGAATAAACAAGAAAATGCCCAGTTTAGAGTTTTTTGTTTGTTTATTTGTTTATTGTTTTCAGCAAATTAATTATACTGTAACTTAAATTAACCTAGCTAAAGTATTTATGATTATAACACTGATTTTACAAGTTGATTTACAAAGGAACTTTATGCAAGAGTATATCTAAAATAAAGAAACTGTTCAACCAACATTTTCTGAATTTAAGGTCAAATAACACGCCAAAAGTTGACATTAGAAGATTAAAATGGTGTATAAAGTTTCTGCAAGTCATAAAAACACATAATTAGTTTTATGATATGTCTTTAACTTAGAATTCAGATCTGCACCATATCAAAATCTGGAGTGATCACAATAGATCCAGCATGGTTGAATCAAAAATCATATTTGAAGAATTTGCTCTTAAACTTTTAACACCAGAATAATCACTTTATGATAAGATTACAGAAATTAAAATTACCCCATGCATGCCATGTACCATACAATCATTCATCTTCTATATAATACTTTTTTTTTTTCAAAATCAATAAGCAAAAGAAATGTTTTGATATGACATAATTTGAGTTGGAGTTATTTCCCTTGATAATAACGTCAGAGGGCAAGTTGGTTGATTATTTATTTGACTAAACAAATTAAAGCATGTGGTACAAGCAAACCTAATAAGAGATTAAAACTATATCTCAGTGATAAATTACAAATATGACAAAAAAAACAGAAAAACAGAAAAATTAAAAAGAATAAATTCACAAGTAAAAACCACATTCTCGTACCTTTTACATGTATTTCTGAAGAGGCAACGATACTGAAAAATAATTTTAATTCCATTTCCGTTGATCTGTTTGACTCCGTAACAAAAATAATCAAAACTGCGACTGGCTTTTTAGAAAAGCTGCTAGCTTATAGCCGCTAGCTTATAGCCGCTCATAATATTGAACTTGAACATATTATGAATCAAGAAAATTCCGAATGTAAGAGGCATGTCTTGCATAAAAAATTAAAACGAATGCTTGAATATTTAACTTTGGGTTGATGTATTTTAGGATTATTTCTTTTCTATTATAGCCATTTTTTCTTTGGCGTAAGCGGTTGATCTGAAATCAGATTCAGCTACTAGAATATAAACAATATGAAACCCTGGGTAGAAATCGGCTGTAAAGGTTTGTCTATTCACATACCTAGTTAAACAATGAACAACAAATATTGACTTTCCAAAAAAATAAAAGAACATTGAGCAGAACTTAACATATTTCGCAATCAAATGAGATGTCTGCTGTTGGGGCGAATCTTAGACAACTCGTCATGTCTGCCGGCTCACCCCAACTTTTCACACTTCGAAAGTAACTGCCAGCACAGATATGAAAGAGTTCTAAGACCAACCGACATAAACAAACCCAACAGAAAAAGGCGCTTTAGGTTTCTCGAAAAGGTATTGCCAAATGTGGCCATATACACAGATTCTGCAAATCAACAATTCTACTATCTGACTATGGCTGGATTGTGGCAATTCTTCAAGTAAATTTCTGCTTCTTGCTGGTTAATTGGAATTAGAAATTTTGCAGACATAATAAGGAGGTACTTTAGAATATAAGGGTAGCCAGACATACATGTATTCATTACCATACAAGGTAGCCCAGACTTAGAAGCATTGAAGTCTGGTGCAAAACAACATATATATTGCTAGAACAAAATTATGTTTTTATCTATATACAAAATAAATAAACAAAAAAAAAAAAAAAAAAAAACGTTTTTGTCATCAGTCGTAGGTGACGGCTAACTTTTACAAAAATTTTCGACTCTAACTTAACTGGGCCAAATTTCACCAAATCTGTCGCAATCCTCATTGGGGTATCTAGTTTAGAAAATGTGCCCAATTACCCTGCTTACCAACCAACATGGCCACCATAGCTAAAAATAGACAAGATTTGTCTTATTATCTTGAAAATTGCTATAGATCGAGAAAATCTTAAAGGGCAGAAATGTTCAGAAATTGAGATGTACCTATGTACATTTACATCAAAACTGTCAGATGACTTCTTACTGGAGTTATTGCCCTTAAATGATGTTTTTAACCAATTTTTTGCATTTTTGTCTAATATTTTAAAAACTTAAATAGATACAGAGCAACTTAAAATAGCAAAAATGATCAGCAAGACAAGATATCTACAATTGAGTCAAATCGTCAGATGACTCTTTATTGGAGTTTTGTCCTCAAATGACAATAATTTACCAATTTTTTGCGTTTTTGCTTTATATTTTGAAAATTATAGATAGGTAAAAACTTAAATTAGCGAAAATGATCAGCAAGACAAGATCTGCATTTAAGTCAAAACTTGCTGAAATTATCCATCAACTCCTTATTGGAGGAATTGCTCTTTAATTATAATTTTTACCAATTTGTTTGCGTTTTGCCTTATACATTTAACTAAAAAGTTTCAATAGATTTATAGAAACTTAAATAAGCAAAAATGATCAACAAGACAAGATCTAAATATAAGTCAAATGTGTAACTCTATTTTACATGTATTACTTCAATTATGCTGATACATTGTACATGTATCCTGCAGCAAATTAATAACTTTGTACAGACAAGGAAGATTGAACAGACAATATAAATACTAGGAAAGAAAGAGACACATTAGATTCCATCAGGTCTTCC